TTAATTACATCAAAATAATTAAACTCTCTAGATTTCAAATCATTTCCAATTGGCCCCAATTTAATATATGTTAATAGACATATCATGGTTATTACATATATTCACACACAAGCTTAATTAGGCCCATGAAACCACCAAAATAGATTTTAATTAATTCCCTTAATTAAAGTCTCTAGATTTCCAAACTCAACCAAATGCTCTCAAATTAAAGTATGTTAACAAACTTGCCAAAACTTAATTTAGAAGCATAACAAAACTCAATTCCATGCAAGGTATGGCCATGAACTTAAATCTTTCACAAAAAATAAATATTAATTAAAAAGAGCAATTCTTATTTAATTAATCCTAAATTAATATATGTTAACCAACATATTAAAATAAGAGTTTTTACCATGCCACAATTCAAATCAAAGTTACATATCATCATGAATTTTAAATCTTATACAAAGAAATAAAAATTACTAACTTTCTAGATTTGATACAAGGCACATATATGTTATATAATCATGGCAAATACACAATACAACACACAAGAAATCCTAAAACATTCCCTACCTCCATTTGAGATGAAATCTCAAATCCCCACCAAAATAAATCGGCTCCAAATCCGAAGAAACTCCTAGGTTTTGTCAGGGACAACACCACGAACATGAATCCCAAGGAAGCCCCATCAAAAACATAACTTGAATTCAAACCTGAACTCAAGAAATGGCCAAAACAAGATTCCAATCGGTTGGAATCGAATGCCTCGTCGAGGGGAACAAAAAACACAAAGGCATCACCACTTTTTAATAAAGGGAAGAAGTCCAAAAGAGGAGAGAGAAGATGGTAGCCATGGATGGAGCTTGGACCGGCCATGAGAGAGGAGAGAGAGAAAAAAAATTTGATTTTTCTTTCTAAGACCTCCTATTTATAGAAAACTCAAAAAGTGCTCCGACAGGCCCCGCCGGGTCCGAAAAAATGGAATTCGCGCAAACGCACTCAAATGGCAAAACTCTGTGAACAAAAAAGATTCAAAATGAGAAAATATGAACAACGGAGGAAACAGCGTCGAAAACTGAGTCCCGAGCAGAGAGTTATGTCCAAAACAAGTTTGGCGCAAACCGAGGCCAGAAACCCTGAAACTGGAAACATCGTCTAGGAGGAAATTCTAAGAGTCCATGACTCGACGAAATGTGAAAATGAATCCCATACGAGGATCCAGGCTCAAAACAAGGCATTGAGTAATAACTTTCATTAATTGCACAATGGTCACTCCAAAAGTGAAAACTGCGAAACTGCCCAAGAATGAAAATATCTTCCAAAAGATATTTTCTTAGATACCCCTGAAATAAAATATCTTCAAAAGATATTCATGAAAAACACCCCAAGAAGAGAAAAAGTTTCCAAAGAACTTTGCATTTATGCCCCTACGGGCACCGAGAGCAACCAGAGTACTTTCTCACGAAAGTAAAGATACGTATCTCATAAAAATCATTGAGAATGAAGATACGTGAAGTCAGAAACCAACTCCGAACACAAGAAGTGTGGTTACGCAAACAGAGTGACAAACGAGGAAAATACGAAATAGGGAAAAAGACAAAATAGGGAAAAGACAAAAAGTGAATAGTGTCGAAAAACAAAAAATATGGAATTAACTCGGTACTCAAAGGAAGTTGTCAATCCACAGAAAAAAGTCTCAAAAATCACTCCAGAGCACTCGAGATGACACTAATCGACAAGAAATCGAACTCAGAAGGGAAAAGACAACGGAAAAAAAATTATCCGAAAAATTCGGGTCATTAGGTTTATTATACTTATAAGTTTTCTGAGGTATACAACAGGTGGAAAATCTAATCGTCGACAGGTATAATAAAATTGTATCTTAATTTGTTTGGATTCTTTACGTTGTCTACATTCTGCTCTTAACATACTATAAACATGGTAGACTTTGTTTCCTATACTTGGACTATTTCTGCAAGGACTTTTTAACCATTTTCCCTATATTTTTGCTCCTATACTTCTTGGTAATTTTTGAAGATACCTATCTATTAAAGTTAGATCAACTGTTTTGCCTGTGGTCGCAAAATACTCAAAAAATTTATTAGTATAACCTCTTATATATCTAAAGTCATAAATTTGTAATAATTCTAAGTTACGTAGATCTTCTGCTTGAGTTTCTTACAGGAGTCCATCTTCTCTTATTAAAACCTTTTTTATTGGACTTGTGAAGATTTGAATTGTGAAATTATCACGTAAAAAGATATACTCTTCAGTAGCTTGAGCTTTATAAGCTTGCCACCACTTGTTGAATGTTCCTCTTAAAAAAGTTTCACAATAAGCTAAGGCTTGTGTTATATTATCAAAGTTGGTTAGAATAGCTTGCCTAATACAATCTTGTTCCCAATCTTCAACTACCTTTGCCCAATCTTGTGGGTCATGTCATGATATATATTTATATCGTTCCTGATTGCAGCGCTGGTATATTATCATAATGTCTTCAATTTTGTGCCCATGGAAATATATTTGTTATATCTTTATTTTCGACATAAGTCTCTCTTGTTGGGTTTAGACGTTGTCCAGTAGTATAATCATCATTTAATGTATTTGTATTGGTATTACTTGTGCTATCAGGCATTTTTTGTTCTCCTGAATCTATATGTTTTGCTTAAGGGGCTGATGTTCCTGCTAGTTCTTTGCTATCTCTCTATTCTATCTCGTTTAGTTATTCTTTTAATGCGTTTAATTCATTCCTTGTGTAAAAGGATTCGAACCCTACTGTTAAAATATTTCTTTTAATATCTTCATTATTTCCTTGTCCTGGGTAAATGCTTTCTAGTAGCTAGTACTTAGGTTTTGGATACATATCATTTAGGTTATTTATTTCCAGATTGTCAAAATCATACATGATTTTATCTAAAATTTCATCTTCTAATTTATTATAGAGGACATTAATTTCTTCGAGAGATTCAATTTCTATTAGAGTATTTAAGAATTCTTCTTCGATATTATTATCTATTAGGTTATCTTGTTGTTTATAATTATTGAATCATATACATGTTTCTTTGTTATGTTTTGCATATATCTTATTATTTTAGGGAGTCCTTTGGGTTATTTTATTAAGATTTGGTAATTCCCATTCAGTTCCTTCATAGGTCTCACTACTTACCATTCTAGCTTCGATCATTTGAACATATTTACTACTAAATGGCTTGATTATTTCGTCAATTTGAGCTTTAAACTTTAGATTATACTGATTAACTATTTTTCCCAGAAATAAAGTATTAATCAATAAGTTTTCATATTATCCTACCATATTATATCCCTCTGTGGATATTGCTACCTTAATATATTTGCTAAATTCTCTAGTAGTAATTGTAAAATTAGGTATACATCCTACAATTGCTGCGTTAATTGCTAAATCTATCTCTGCACTAGCAATTTGTGCTTGTAGATGGTTAGTCCATCTATTGTCGTATATATAGAAAAGTGCATTGGTACCCACTTCTGACCTATTTAATCATACTATACAGATAATTATTACGCCAAGATGCATAAGATCTAATTTACTTTTATTTAATTCACGATAAGCTTTTGGTGTTATTAGATCAAGTATCACTTGTTTGTTAACTACATTTATCCTTCTTTGGCTAAGATGGTTATATATTTTACTATGGAAATTTAATAGATTATTTGAATAAAGACCGACTTTATTAGATACTTTCTTCATACCATTTTCAAAATAATTTTCAGCATCATACTCACTATCATATAAATATTCTACTTGCATTATTTCTTTGGCTTTTCTAAGGATATGGGCCATTCTTTATAAGGTTGTAGGAGATTTACTCATTTGGTGTCTTTATTTGAGAAAGAATTAGTTGATATTTTTAAATCTTTTATTTTATCAGTTAGTTCGTTTAATTCTTTAGAAGTATGTTGGAGAATGCTTTCTTGTATGACTTCTAATTTTTCTTCAAGCTTACTCACCTTTTCAATTAACTGGAATAATAATTGGATTAAAATGTTATTTTGTCTAATTTGTATGTTGATAGATTTTACGTTTGTCGTAAAACTTGTAAATCCTATGGGTTTATTTATCTATTTTATAGATCTCAGATAAAGCTAGTAAATAATCGGCATTACTAGTGCTCATAAATTATTGTAATAACCATTGGATATCTTCTTTTATTGATTTTAAATAATCTAAAATTATTTTTTGATTTTCAGAAATAGCTTTGAGTTCACTATTTATTTCTTTAATAACAGAAATTATTATTTTATTATCTAAATTTCTGGGACTAGAATTATGATCAACTCGTGTTTTAATATAATCTAGGTTTTCTCCGAGTCGTTTAATTAAAGAGTCAATAGTATTAAATTCTATTATATTAAAAAAACTATTTAAAACCTTTGTCGCTTAACTTCTAAAATATTTTGAATAAGGATAATTTTAGATATAAGTTATTCTATTCGTCGTTGTAAGTTACGTGTTGTATTTCCAAGTTCTAGTGAAGTATAACAGTTCCTAAGTGCCACTCGACAATATTCAAGAAATTCTAAAAGTTGCTCTTTGGACAAATTGTGCGTAAATTAAACTTTATTGGTGAATATATAATTTTAACTAAAGTTTGTGGTAGATCTGTAAATATCTATTAGACTAGCTGTGGTCCACCTGTCCTAGTTGTCTCACCCTGATTGGCTTGGGTATATGTGACGGTACCCTTGGGTATTCTAGTTTTTCCCGCTCTATAGATCCAAGTATCACTTTGTTGTTTGAGTAATTGACCTTCCGCTCAGTTGACCACCTCTGATATGGCACATATGACCAACATTTTATTTGTAACTATTTGGTTGGTGTATGTGGCTAAGGTCCCTCACATTTTATAGGAAGGATAAAAGTTTTGAATGGGCCCCAAAAATTCTCCATAACAGACCGTTTGAGGTCCAACTCATTTTGACCGTTACATACCAGCGACACTACAAAATTCAAAAAATTCAAAAAGCCAACCAGTCCATAAACCACTTTAACAATTTCAAAGTACACACAAGTTGAAATCACACACAATCTAGATCAATCTTTTCTCTTTTAATTTGCTCTGTTTATCGAATGCTCTGTTGTCAATCAAACAGTTTCAGTGGGTCTCTTTCTCAGAAAACAAAAGTCAAGAACATGTTTGGATAGTGAAGAAAAAAAAAAAAAAAATGCTCGTGTCAACGAGGACTCAGATCAACACCAACCCAGAGCAAAATGAGTCCAATCAAGAACACAAAACCAGATTGATGACAGATCGAGACGAAATGCAAACCCATATGGGTCTTCCACTGAGAAACCTGCACCATGGCTTGAAAGAGAAGATGAAGGCATTGACCATTTTGTACGAGCAGCAAAAGCAAGCATCTGCAGCTCTCAAAAACCCACCTTCCAGACCTGAGTTTTCGACCCACCTGAGGGAAGAGAAGGACCCAAATGAATCAAAACAGAGTCATGTATGTCCTCTGCTGCTGATTGATGATGCAAAAGAGAATGTGGAGGTGAGTGATAACAATAGGATTGTTGGGTTTCCGGGTACAGTGGCGAGAAAGCTATCGATGGGAAGCTCAGTGGTGGAGCAGACAGGCTATGGAGAGACCAAGAATGTGCAGGAATTGCAGACCATTACAGAGAAACCACCGGACAGTACTAAAGACGGTAGTAGTAGGATTCTTGTATCTGTGAGGCTTAGGCCTATGAGCAAGAAGGAGAGAGAAGTTGGGTCTCGGTGTTGTGTCTGGATCGTTTACCGGAGAGAGGTTTATCTGACGGAAATGGCGACTGAGAATGATTATCTTCGGCTAAAGAGGATTCAGGGGCGACATTTCACCTTTGATGCCTCCTTTCCGGATTCCACTACTCAACAGGAAGTCTATTCCACAACGTGAGTTTCCAAATAAACAAAAAATGTGATCTTTTTATGTTTGTTCTTAAATTTTTGAGCTGAATTATAAGCCCCAAGTAATAATCTGAAATGAACTCTCTGATTTGTGTTAAAGTCCCGAATTTTGATTGACCCATTTTGCTCGCGAGTCGTGGACCCTATTTAGTAGAAAAAAGAGTGACAGCAAGAGTTAGGGTTTAGGGGCTCAAACTTGTAATCTCCATATTTTCTTATGGTGAAACTTTTCGCAGGATCTTCACGTGGATGTAAGCTTTGTCAAATCACAAATATTTTGTGTTCATTATGTGTAACGTGTTTATTGTTCTGTAATGTTTCGTGATTTGTTCTTGATTCTCTGTGTTTGTCGTAACATAAACTACCCAATTCTTTGTTACTGCTTTTTCACTTGTTTTTTGGACTTCCATATTGGCTTAGAAAGGTCAGATTGTGCTACATAAACTTTGAGCTAATGTTGTTAGTTAACACTTCAGCACTACTTAATCTTTCAAATTCTCTATGATTTTTCAAATTCTATGTGTGCCCAAGTAATAGACAGCCATTTAAGATTACTGTTGGCTTCCATTTCTTTGTTACACTTTATAGTTAAGCTTTACCCTTCCATTTTCCTATGAAAACAATGATATTTTGCTATATATGGTGCTCTAAAAAATTTTAGTGGCTCGAGAGTAATATTTGGTTTTACTCTTCCAAATCCCCTTACAAGAATGTGTTTGATCATGCTATGTATGGCTTAATTCTTAAAGAAGTTGCATTAGTCCTCAACACAAATTATGCAATTCAAATACTTTATAGTCTCATAGAAGTAGTGGATAGGCATTATTTGGTCAGAAGGCAGAACTTAACGGAACAATAGTTAATCATTGGATTTGCAGAACTGCGGAGCTCGTGGAAGCAGTTTTGCAAGGGAGGAATGGGTCAGTATTCTGCTACGGTGCCACTGGAGCTGGAAAAACGTACACTATGTTGGGCACGGTGGAGAATCCGGGGGTGATGGTTTTGGCAATAAAGGATCTTTTCAACAAGATTAGACAGAGGAGCTGCGACGGGAACCATGTGGTTCATCTATCATATCTTGAGGTCTATAATGAAACTGTCCGGGATTTGCTTTCCCCTGGAAGGTCACTGGTCCTTAGAGAAGATAAACAGGTCTGTTTCAGCAACATTGCATAAGTACAACTTGATTTGTAATATATGTATCATATAAATTTTCCCTTTAAGCTTCTGCTATTAATGTCCATTTCCCATTTGAAAGTTACTTTTATGGGGTCTAGTTCGCGACACAACTGTAGATTCATTGGTTATAATAATCTTCATTTAATGAAAAATTATCCAAGACTTCTGTTGAAATCTTATCAAATTGGAGTCAAGTTATATCCCATCTTTTTTGTGTGGTAACTTGAAAGAAGCATCCCAATCTATGAGATCAACGCCAGCATAATCCAAATGCTACCATCTTTCTATGGCCTTGACAATGAGAATCCTTATAAGCATCTCGATGAGTTCCTTGAAATTTGCTCCACCATCTGGTTGCAAAATTTTTACAGAGGGTGCTTTGAGGATGCGTCTTTTCCCATTCTCACTCAAAGATAAGGCTAAATATTAGTTAAATTCCTTACCGGTCAATTCGATCACTTCATGCTCAAATGCAACATGTCACTTTTGTGGCATAACAATGGGAAAGTTTTCCATGAACCCTTTTTGTTCAACAGTCTTTGAATAATGAACCTTCATAATGTCCTTTCTTTGTTCATGTAACTAATATGTTTGACATATTAGTTATAAATTTTCTCCTAAACCAATTAATTAAGTTTTTGTTTCTTTGTAAAATGGTTTAAATACTTCAGGGGATCGTGGCAGCTGGTCTTACTCAATACAGAGCTTATTCTACAGAAGAAGTAATTTTCCTATTTCCCCTTTCTGATGACACAAAATTCTACATTTACATTGGTTTAGTAGAAAGGTCACTTGTGTTTTTGTTTAATTTATGACAGGTTATGGCATTGCTTCAACAAGGAAACCAAAATCGAACCACTGAACCAACTCGTCTGAATGAGACTTCTTCGCGCTCCCATGCTATACTGCAGGTAGTTGCACAAATATGTGCATATTTTTTAGTTAATCTGGCTATTCTAAATTTCTAGTTATTCTTCATTTGTATGTTACATTCAGGTTGTGGTTGAATATCAAATCAGAGATGTTTCTAATAATGTTGTAAACGGAGTGGGGAAGCTGTCACTTATTGATCTTGCTGGTTCAGAAAGAGCTCTCGCTACTGATCAGAGAACACTAAGATCACTTGAGGGTGCTAACATTAACAAGTCACTCCTTGCACTGAGCAGCTGCATCAATGCCCTAGTTGAGGGCAAAAAACACATTCCATACCGCAATTCCAAGCTCACCCAGCTGCTCAAGGACTCTCTGGGAGGAGCTTGTAACACGGTTATGATTGCCAATATCAGCCCAAGCAATCTTTCATTTGGTGAAACCCAAAACACCCTTCATTGGGCTGATCGAGCCAAGGAGATCCGGACCAAGGTTCATCCTCAAAACTTCGCTCTCACTCCTTTCTTTTTCCACTATATTGATTGCTATAAAATGCTATCAATTTTCAAAAATAAGTTACGAAATTCGCTTGACATTTTTAGTTGGTTAATCAAAGCTGATTTTTATTACATGTCTCAAAATTTTGAAAAATTATTTATGAATCATGACAAGAGTAACATATTCATTCTCCTTACAAAGAAATGCAATTCTCTCCCTTTTCTCTATGTTTTCCCATTGGTCCGGAATCCAGCTTCCTTATAATTAATATACACAACTGCAGGCATCTGATGCAAATGAGGGAATATTGAAATTACCTCAATCTGAAGAAGATCAGGCAAAGTTATTGCTTGAGCTGCAGAAAGAAAATCGTGAATTGCGAGTACAATTGGCACGTCAGCAGCAGAAGCTATTAACTTTCCAAGTAAAATCCTTGGCTGCGAATTCCTCACAAACCCCTTCCTCAGTAACCTCTCTCTTGTCTCCTGCCCCACCAAATGAAAAAGAAAAAACCAGATCAAGTTTCTTGGCGAGTAATTTTTCCGCCCTAGAAACAAAAAAGCCAGGAGCAGACGAGACTGTTAAGGAGCTCCGTCAGACTGTGAAGGCACTAGAAGCAGAAATTGAGAGAATGAGAGAGGATCATGCATTGCAAATAAAGCAGAAAGATGATGTCATATGGGAGCTTTCACTAAAGGGTGAAAAACCAGCAAAAGGAGTGGGTGGGGAAGGCGAGAAGAAGGTTGTCACAAGAGTGAGCTTGCAGCCAAAGGAGAAAACTATGGGTGAGTTGAAGAGCCCTAGTCATCGGTTTCTGTCCCCAGCGCCGACAGCTAAGAAACGCAGTTTTTGGGACATTACAACTGCTAATAGCCCATCACTTGTGACGATAAATGGAAGAAAAATTAGAAGCCATGACACTTCTGAACCTGTAGCAGCTCCCTCCATGATTCCTCAGGTACACTGATATTTTCCTTCTTGCTTACTTCCTTGCTAGGTTTTAAAGATTGATAGGTTGGTTTAAATAGGTTCACAATTTATTCAAGAATATATGCGCATGTTTGTTTTATATGTATGTTTCTATGTATCATCATGTATGAATGACACATCAAAACTGAACATGCTAGAGACCCTTTTTTGAATGTTTTTTTGCTTCCATGTGGGAATTCTCCAGGACCTCTCTATCTCCCATTTTAAATATGCTTTTGAGTTCCTTTCTTCTGAGACTGATGCAGCTTTCATGTCCATGTTTCTGGTTTGTGTTCATGTGTGGACCGCATATCATCAAGTACATCATCCAGCCAGGTTTTGCTCGTAAACTTTGAAGCAGTAAAAGGGGGAAAAAAAGGAAGAAGAAATTGATTGAAGAAGTTGAGAAGATGGTACCTTGTTTATAACTTTTTCATCCTTTGCTACACTCTTTCTGCTCAATTTGGTGGACTGACATGGAAGAAAGGTTAGTGATGGCTTGATTAATGGCATTCCTGTTTTTACTACTTTTATGCATATGATCAACTAACACCCATAAAGAAAAGAGAGACTATATATAGTTGCTTATTGTGATATTTTTTGTTGATTATTGATTTGCTAATTCTAACATGCTTATTTCAGAAATATTGGGGTGATTGAAAAAACACATTTGGGAAAATATAATATTTGATTTGGTTTTCTTCCTCCCATAACATTAAAATTTCTAACTCTTGAAAGATAAAAATGACACATTAGTTTATGCATTTTGAGAACTTGATGGGCATATTATTTTCATTTTGGCAGCTTTGATTAGCGTCATTTAGACAATTGCTTTTACAAAACCTCGACTTTAGAATAGGGGATGGGATGAAGTTCAAGATGATTACAGACCCTTGGTGTGAAAATCAAACCTTAATTCAGAGATTTGGGGCTACATTGCTTAGACAAGTGGATAGACAGGCTTTATTAGCAGAACTTATTATCAATGGCAGATGGGATAGACCTGACTTTATACCTGAGACAGTGTTTAATGTTTTTCAGAGGATAAAGATTGTAGCAGGTTCAGACATTATAGGCTGGAAGACTGGTGGATTCTCTCTGAAAGCAGCTTTTAACTCATGTAGATATACAACTCCAACAGTGAACTGGTGTGATCTCTGTTGGAAATATTGCAGGCCTCGAATTGCTGTAGGGGTTTGCATCATTTTACACAACAAGAATTTATCTTTGGTCAACTTGCAGAAACGAGGCATTACTCTTTCTGCTATATGTCACAACTGTATGAGGAATGTGGATTCCAATGATCATCTTTTTTGCACTTGTAGCTATGCTCAGAAGGTTTAGCATGAGATTTTTTCTCTTCTACACATAGATAATCCAGGATGTAATTCTCTCATGCAACTGGTAGAGTGGTTTGGACTGCAAACCAATTCTAACTCTACAAAATCGAAAGTGTTGAGCTCAGTTTTTTCAACTGTCATTTGGAAAATCTGGGCTATCAGAAATGAAGTTTTGCACAATGGAGATCAAACTCAAGCTAATCTTGCTGCACAGTCTATTGTTTGGGAGGTTTTGTCACATCTCAAAATTAGACTTGAAGATTTCCTTCTCATTTTTTAATGAGGAAGGTTTTGTTTTCTGGTCTTATTGCTGGGGCTTGTTCAGTGTGTTTTTCAGTTGGATATGTTGCTGATCTGCTGCAGAGTACTTGACCAAATGGATGTTGATTTGGTTCATCACATTGGACTGTCTTGTTTTTCAGTATCAGAGGTTTTTCATCACAATGGAGATCAAACTCAAGCTAGCTCAAAATCAGACTTGAAGAGTTTTATGGTCTTATTGCTGGGGTTTGTTCAGTGTGTTATCGCCGGGGTCTGTTGTCAGTTGGATATGTTGCTGATCTGCTGTAGAGTACTTGACCAAATGATTTGGTTCATCACATTGGGCTGTCTTTCATGGTTTTTTTTCAGCATCAGAGTTTTGTTTTCTTGTCAAAGCAGGATGAGAACATTGAGTTTTTGTTTTTGCTTTCATTTGTCTTTTGTTTTTTCAATCTTAGATTTGGGTTTTTCTTAGATAATGGAGTTTACTCCATTTCTTGGCTTGTATTGGAGGATTTTGCCTCCTTTTGTAATTGTACCAGGAAAAAAAAAAAAAAGATTAGGATTTTATTGATTTCCTACCTCTAAAGAGTGTGGGTTCAAAAACTATATTATTGTCAAATGACCCTTTAATGTCATGAAAATTCAGTTCGAAGTCTTTTAAACATGGAGCTGTAGTTGCTGATATGAGACCAAATAGGAGAAACGTACACCATGCATATGCAAGGAGGCCTATGCTAGTTTAAATCTTGCTGCAATTTCCTTGAAATGGGTGGCTAGGGATGTATCTAATGCAATACTTTCTTTTCCCAAGTCTACTAATGTAATATTTATTAGTAAGTGTTGGAAGTGCACTACTGGTGCCCTTCTTAAGTTGATAAGAGTTACACAAATACAACATTACAAGTTTAAATAGAACATGAGAGCTACATAACTTGGTTAAATTAAAAGAGAGTAAAAGAGGTACATATGTTACTTATAGTGTCATATGTACTTTTAGTCGTACAATCATTGAGTTCAATTTTACATAACCAAAATAAAACATTAGGGTATATGAATTTAACTTCATCTAACATTAGTTACGTATGATTTCTATAAGCAGCCATTTCTGCCAAGGCTTCAACATAAACATCTCTAATGAAATTTTTTTATTTTCTTTAGTTAAAGATCTCTAACGAAATTTTGAATCGTGCCTATATATGAGTCGTTATCTAGTCAACTTATAAGGAACTAAGCTTTGAAATGTAAAATGAGCTTTTAGAACCCCAAAGCAACGTTCAATCACATTGCGAAGTGATAAATGTCCATAGTTAAACAATTTCTTTAGACTTTGCCAATTTCTACCTCTATGTTCTTGTAAATGATATCTTCGACCACTATACGTGAGGGAATCCAATTGTGCATTGGTAACCAGAATCAACTTTGTAATGTTTGCTACCAAAATATTATATTATTTAAATTTTACTAAGCTAATAATTTGTAATATGCTACTATAGATGTTAAAAAGTCACATAAGTTATAAGTAATACCTTTAATTGGTACAAGAGATCATACAGCAGCTCTTGTAATTTCATCAACAAAAACCCTTGAGTCATTTGTTGTACCCTCGAGAGTAAATGAAAGTAAAAGATTATATCAAATGACCAAGGCACATGACATTCTGTGTTGCTATAGTCTTTCTTCCTCTATAAGGAGTTTTGTGTTGGCAGGTGCAAGAGCACTTACATGTGTGCCATATAGTTCCAACACAATTCTATTTTAAATTAAATGAAGTTAAAACAAAATGCATAAAAGTGCTCATAAAATGAATGAACATAATTCAATTAAAGGGAAGTAATACCTTAAATCAAGGATAGTATTTGAAATTAGGGTAAAGTATAGTCACACTCCCTGAGGTTTGACAAAAAGACACTTAGATGAAACTTTCTTATTTTTTGGATGAAGACACCCCTTGAAGATTAAAAAATGGACAAAGACACCCCTTTACATGAGAAATTGACCAAATTACCCTTTGACCATTTAGGAGACTTTTTTAACTTTACAATTTAATAAATTGGACCAATCTACCCTCATGAACAATTTATGCATAAAAAAAAAGTAACAAAAAAAAAAAAAAAACTTTATATTGTTCACCATTTTTTTTTTAAATGTCCCAACTTCTTAAAAATGTAGACGTCTAAAATGATTTTTTGATCCAATACATATATTTTAAATAAATTATATTTTGTTATTACTTCTTTTCTTTTTCTTTTTTATTTTTAAATTAAGATGCTTAATTCTTTTATCTAAAAAAATTAAACCAATCTATTTTCCTTAAAAATAAAAATTATGGTACCAGTATAACTTTATGCATCTTAAATTATATATCAAATATTATGTATTTCCCAACATAAAAGGGAAAATAATAATAATAAAAAAAAAACAAAGGCATGCATAAAGTTATACTAGTACCTATTTTCTTTTATGTTGGGAAATGCATAACATTTGATATATAATTTAAAATGTATAGAGTTATACTGGTACCATATTTTTTATTTTTAAGGAAAAAAGATTGGTTTAATTTTTTTAAATGAAAGAATTAAGCATCTTAATTTAAAAATAAAAAAAGAAAAAGAAAAGAAGTAATAACAAAATATAATTTATTTAAAATAATATGTATTGAATCAAAAAATCATTTTAGACGTCTACATTTTAAGAAGTTAGGACATTTATAAAGTAAATAACAAAAAAAAAAAAAAAAAAAAAGTGAACAATATAAAGTTTTTTTTTTTACTTTTTTTTTTATGCATAAATTATTCATGAGGGTAGATTGATCCAATTATTAAATTGTAAAGTTAAAAAAGTCTCCTAAATGGTCAAAGGGTAATTTGGTCAATTTTTCATGTAAAGGGGTGTCTTTGTCCATTTTTGAAACTTCAGGGGGTGTCTTTATCCAAAAAACAGGTAAGTTTCCTCTGAGTATCCTTTTGTCAAACTTCAGGGGGTGTGACTGTACTTTACCTTTGAAATTATGACTTATCTAAGAAGGCACATCATCGCATCGTGGTGGATGTATGAATCGTTTTCTAAGGCAACATCTTTCTTTCAACACATGCTAAAAATATATAGAAACTGTTTCACTAGAATGTTGAAAACGTTTGGCTACTATAATGAACATTGTGCCTTATAATGAATGAAAATAGTGTCATTGACTCCTCAACTAAAATTGTATGGGTGTCGTCCCACCATCCACTACATCTCATTTTATAATAAAGTTTCATAAACACTTCTCTATGCATGCACAATACACCGTAACATCGACCGAGACTCAACAGTTTTGAATATTGATGACGTGTTAATTGCTGGGGATAATTAATTCCCTTCAACCTACTCAACGGCCAGGTATTATTAAGAATTAAATCAATCCTTAATCACATACAGCGGAAACATCATCATATCACATCAACAAAAACATATACGGAGATAACAATCATACACATCCATACATAACACAATATTTTACATGGTTTACCCAACTATAGGGTTACGTCCGTGGGAGGGAGAGATTTCACTATTATGAATCAACTCACTCGTCATCTCTTTTGAGGCTACATGTTGTGAGATTTATATGTACCACTCGCAAGTGCACAAATATTTACAGATAGGGCTTACTTGTAAGGGTGTCGTACCCAAGGGACTTGTGTAAAATAAGTTTGTCAACAGATTTCTTAAATTCCAAATTAACTTGAAAGTAGGATAATCAGATTGTGATGATTTATTCTAAATTTAACTAAGTAATAAAATGAGAATAATAATTAGATAGGATGTAGAAAATAGAGAGAAATGACTAGGGGAATGATTTCACCACTAACGTCGCACCACCAATTAATTGCATCAATTTATTGGAGATATATCATATAACATGCATAGGGAATTAATCATGGTTACAAACACATATTAATTCAGTTAGAAAATAATATAATTTAAAGCTAAGCATGGACTATCTTCGATTAGTATAAACCATCTACCTAACTACTTTATTCTAGAGTGTAGCATGGTTTATCTTTTCTAGGCATAATCCATCAAATCTCTAACATTATATTCAGAGAAATACCATTGTGTAATCATCTCATTTACAACTACAAGAAGTGAATGAGTTGTGTTTAATTACAAGATTCAAATATCCAAGACAAGATAGAAAAATATTTGTAATTGAATTAAAACTTTAAAACAGAACTAGGAAAAAAAAAACTTTAAAACCGATTTTTATTAAAAATTTAATTAAAAACACTATAGATTACACAATCATGCATGATAATAATTGTTCTCCAATAAATAAATACAATCAAACCAGTGTACTAAGTTAGGGTTACATCACAACCCTAGCAAAGCGTTTAGCCAAGCATGACTGGAGTGGAATTCTTCATAATTGAGGAAGACATCTTTACCACCATGGATCAATCCCTACTTGCTTCTGAATGCTTCTCTTCTGATCTCAGCTTCAAGCTCCTCTGTATGATTTAATGATGTAGAGAACTCCCTTTAAATAAGAGAAAATAAGCCCTAAAGTTCCCTTTTCCATATAGAAGACATATGGAAATTCTGCCAAACAAGGACTCCAAAATTCGTACAGACTTCCAGCCCAATTTTGATAAGGTAAATAACTGTTTTATAGAATCCTCTTGAAATACAAAATTGTAACTCTTCGAATTTCCTTTCAACCTGCGCGGGAATTTAACTGTTTTGACACTCGAGGAGAGAGATACTGCTAGATTACCAAAATGGGTTCAAGTTACCAACTTTGGCGAAAGTTTCCTTTTTGGAGAAGGATTTTTCCTTTTCTTCTTCTTTCCATTCTTATCAACTTATGGCTTCTTTTGGACTATTTTCTAAGTATAATTTGACTTCGATCTTCAACATTACTCGATCTCATGGAATGTCATCTTTTAAAGCTCGGAGTCACTAGTTTTGACTGATTTTACAATTAAAGTCCTGAAATAAATAAAAACAATAAAACAATGTTAAATGACAAATAAACTACAATTAAGGGCATGTTTGGTGTGGTGGAATGAATTGGAATGGAATGAGAATGGAGGTGGGAATGGAATGAGAATGAGAATGGAGTGGGAATAATGATTCTTATTCTACTGTTTGGTTGCAAACATAGAATGTGTAAAATAGAATCTCATTCGCATTACTATGTTTGGTAAGAAAGTTGGAATAGAATGAATTTATGTTGTTTCTTTAAATTACTTTTTATTATTAGTAAAAAAAATTAACTAAAAAAATTAATTTGTAAAAATAAAAGGGAAAGAGATAATAGAGAGAGAAAATAGACGAGATAGAGAGAAACAAAGGGCTTTCCGATGATTGCAAAAATAAAAGGGAAAGAGATAATAAAGAGAGAGAAAGAGAGAAAATAGACGAGATAGAGAGAGAAAATAGATGAGATAAAAGAAACAAAGGGCTCTCCGACGACTGTAAAAATAAAAGGAAAAGAGATAAATTTCCGATCATCTTTTCCGACGAGAAAAAAGAAACAGAGGGTTAGATAATGACTGAGAAAGTTGCATAACGGAGCACCAAAGCTTATAAAAGT